GTGGAAAAAACACATCTGGAACCCGTACCCCTCCTCCCCCCAACCCGACGTTCGGGTCTTCGGGTTAGGTTGGGGTGGCCTGCTTCCCACCGCCACCACCATAAGTAGGAGGGGGGAAGGAGGTGGAGGACGAGGAGAAGGAGGACGAAGAGAAGGAGCAGGAGGAGGAGGAGGTGGAGGAGGACCAGGAGGAGGAGGAGGACCAGGAGGAGGAGGAGGAGGAGGAGGAGGAGGAGGACCCCCTCCCCCTCCAACTTCTGGTGGCGGTGGTGGAAGGCAGGCCCATCATAGGTTGGGGTGGCCTGGTGGGTAGTCATCCTCAGGGGCCCTTCCTCGGAGCTGGGCCGGGGAAGTCTGTTCGAAGCGGGGGAGGCACGCCGTGTGCGGAGGCAAAAGCCCTCCGTTCCTCGGCCGGCGTGCCGTGGCAGCGCGACCTGCTGCAGCCTCCTGCAGCGGGAGCCCACGCCAAGAGACACCCCCCTTGCCTCCAGGGTGCCCTGGGATTGTCGGCGACACGTACACGCTGCTCATGTCTAAGTCTTCGGAAGTTATTTGATTTTTGGGGAGCCAAGATCCTTTCACTCCTAATTGTTTTATCCTGGGCATCTTCCTGGCCACCAGTGGGCCAGGAACAATTAGAAACAAGCACCATTAGAAATGAGCAAGATCAGAAATGAACGACGTGTAAGAGTGAACCTTCGCCGGAGTGACCTTTGGTGCGGGCTCACCGGGGTCCCCCTGACCGCTGAGCGCGATGCGACAGTGGCTGCTTGCGCCTTTGGATTTGGCCACCTTGCGCCTCCTCCCTCAGTCCGCGCACCACAGGTCACTCTTACCCAGGGTCACTCTTGCGTGCCGCCGAGATTGTCAGGATTCGATGGTCCTGCCGTCGCAGGCGTGACGCTCCCGCACCAAAAATCCGGGGACGGCCTAGGGGTCCAGTGGGTTGGGCTTCTTGCGAAAGGTCTCTTGTGGTGGAGCTCCATCTGTAATCTCGTACCTGAGTATGGGGAGCACCTGCTCCTGGACTTGTCTTCCACCACCACCACCGCCCTAAGTTGGAGGGGGAAGGCCGTGGAGGATGAGGAGGAGGACGAAGAGGAGGAGAAGGAGGAGGAGGAGCACGAGGACCCCCCCCTCCTCCTACTCAAGGTATCTGCTAACAGTGAACTACAAGTCCAAGCGGTGAATTAACACGACGCTGTTGACACTATGTAACGCAGGGTGAATTAACACCACGCTGTTGACACTACGTTGTTCGCATGTAGAAGAGATATAATACGCCTCTAATCTGCGACGTTACGCTGCTGACACTACGTTGTTCGCATTCAGAGGAAAGACGCTACGCTTCTAATGTGCGACGCTGCGCTGATGACTCTACGTTGTTCGCATTACGTAAGAGGAGAGACAGTACACTTCTTATCTGCGACACTACGCTGTTGACACTATCTTGTTCGCATTAAATGGAGAGACAGAACGCGTCGAATCTGCGACACTACGCTGTTGACATCACGTTGTTCGCATTACAGGGAGAGACAGTACGACTCGAATCTGCGACACTACGCTGTTGACACTACGTTGTTCGCATTGGGAAGAGAGACGGTACGCTTCTGATCTGCGACGCCACGCTGTTGACACTACGTTGTTCGCATTAAGAGGAGAAACAGTACGCGTCTGAACTGCGACACTACGCTGTTGACGCTACGATGTCGCATTCCAGGGAGAGGCAGTACGAGAGGAATCTGCGACACTACGCTGTTGACACTACGCTGTTCGCATCAACTGGAGAGACAGTACGCTTCTAATCTGCGACACTACGCTGATGACACTACGTGTATCGCATTAGGAGGAGAGACAGTACGCGTCTCATCTGCGACACTACTTTGGTGACACTACCTTCTTCGCATTAAGGGGAGAGACAGTACGCTTTTGATTTGCGACACTACGCTGATGACATTACGTTGTTCACAATACGAGTACGATGTACTCTTCTAAACTGCCGCTGACACTGCGCTTTTCGCAATAAGAGGACAGCGCGTACGTTCCAATCTGCGACGTTACGCAGTTGACGCAACGTTGTCCGCGATACCAGGACAGAGCGTACGCTTCTAATCGGTGGCACTGCACTGTTCACACTACGTTGTTGGCATTACGTCGTCTGCACTTGGCATCAATAGGAGAGGCTATGCGCTCCTGAATATCTGACACTGCGCTGTTTACACTAAATTGTTGGCATGCAGAAGCGCTGTTGGCATTAAGAGCAGACGCTGGACGCTGTTTGTACCCGCTCGTGCCAGACACTGCACCGTTATGATACTGAACCGATTTCTGTAACTGAGAGTTCAACAGCTGCCCTAAATTTCGAGAGCAAATCGAAAAACCGATCAGTTGCACCAACAAGTGGCAGAAAGTGAGCAGTTGTTCGTCATAGCTCGAGAAGCAGACAGATATCAGGCTTCTCGACCCCCAGGGCTAATGCTTACGAAGCGCTGGTGGCATTAAGAGCAGACGCTGGACGGTATTTGTACAATTTTTTGCCTCTGGCACTGCGTTGCGCTGTTGAAATGGCGCTGTGCAGTAGACGCTGTGCGGTTCTTGCACGCTCCTGCATGTGACACTGCGCTGTTGACACGACGCTGTTGGCATTCAGAGGAGCGCTTTGCGCTGCTGCTTTTGATGCTGCTCTCTTGACACTACGCTGTTGGCATTAACAGACGCTGTACGCTCCTTGCAAGCTCCTAGCGAGGCTTTGACCTTGCGTTGTTGACGGTTTTGCCCACACCGCTTGTTGACAGCACGCTGTTGGCACTGCGCTGTTGACACTACTCTGTTGACACCACTTAATTGGCAACGTGCTCTCGACAGTGCGCTGCGAGCTTCTCGCTCGTCGCGCCCGGAACCGCCCAGAATGAGTTTGAGTTGTTGGCATTACGCTTCAGTTGCTGGCGCCAAGATGTGGACACAACGGTGTTGACACTACGCAGTTGACGCGACGTTATTGACAGTGCACTGGTGCAGCGCCGTTGATTGACACGGCGTTGTTGACACCACGCTGTTGACACTACGACGCTACGTTGTTGACATTACGCGCTTGATCCGACGCTGTTGACGCTACGCTGTTGGTCGACGCTACATTACTATTCATTGTAAAGCTGTTGGTTCATGCTGCTGGCACCACGTTGTTGACACTACGTTGTTGACACTACGCTTTTGGCACTACGCTGTTGGCGCTACGCTGTTGACGCTGCGCTGTTGACACTGCGCTGTCGACACTACGCTGTTGACACTACGTTGCTGTCACCACGTTGTTTACACGACGTTGTTGACACTCCGCTGTTGACACTATGCTGTTGACACTAAGTTGTAAACGTTCAGCTGTCAACTCTACGCTGTTGACACGTCGCTGTTGCGACGCCGTTGGTTGACACGGCGCTGTTGACAGTACGCTGTTGACACTACCACGCTACGCTGTTTATCTTACGCTGTTGACGTTGCGCTGCTGGCACTGCGCTGTTGGCCGACGCTACGCTATTTGTTCATGTTGTTGACACTACGCTGTTAACACCACGCTGCTGACCCTTTTCTGCTGACACTAATTACGCTGTTGCGATTGCGTTGTCGCCACTACGATGAAGATACTAGACACTACTCTGTTGACACTACGCTGTTGACAGTAAGTTGTTGACATTAAACGGTCAGCACTGCTCTGTTGACAGTGCGCTGTTGACAGTACGCTGTTGACACTACGCTGCTTGAAACTACGCTGTTGCTACGCCGTTTGTTCACACTGCGCTGTTGACACCTACGCTGTTGACACTACAATGCTACGCTGTCGACATTACCCTGTTGACGCTCTACAACGCTGTTTTCTGCCACGCTGTTGGTTCATGCTTTTGACACTTCGGTTTGACACTACGCTTACGCTGCTGACATTACGGTGTTGACATTACGCTGTTGGTCGGCGGCACGTTCAGATTTCACGCCATGCCGTTGGTTCGCACAGCTAACCATACGCTGTCGACAGCACGATGTGGGTGGACACCACGCTGTTGACACTACGCTGTTGACACCACGCTGTTCATATTATGCCGTTGCTACGCCGCTGGTTAACACTACGCTGTTGACGCTACTCTGTTGACACTACGCTGTTGCTACGCCGTTGGTTGACACTACGCAGTTGACATTACGCTGTTGGCACTACGCTGTTGCTGCGCCGTTGGTTGACACTACGCTGTTGACACTGCGCTGTTGACACTACGTTGCTGACACTATGCAGTTAACACTTCGCTGTCGACACTACGTTGTTGACACTACGCTGTTGACACGACGCAATCGACACGACGCTCTTGACAGTACTCTGTTGACAGCACGCTATCAACACTACGCTGTTGACTTAACTCACCGTCAAGACGTACTCCACCATCAGAGGCTCGTGCCGGTCCGGCGGCGGTGCGACTCCTCTCCGTCCTCGGGCCTGGTGGGCCCGCAGACGGGAGCCACGGCGGGCGCCCCGTCTTGGAGCTGGCCCGCCGCTGTGGCGGTCTGGCGTGTCGCGGAGCCGCCGGAGGAGGGATAGGAGGGGGAAGACGAGGAGGAGGAGGAGGAGGAGGAGGAGGAGGAGGAGGAGGAGGAGGGGGAGGAGGAAGAGGAGGAGGAGGAAAAGGAGGAGGAGGAGGGGCGGAGAAGGAGGAGGAGGAGGAGGAGGACGGGGAGGAGGAGGGGGAGGGGGAGGAGGAGGAGGAACAGCAGGAGGAGGAGGGGGAGGAGGAGGAGGAACAGGAGGAGGAGGAGGAGGAGGAGGAGGAGGAGGAGGAGGGGGAGGAATAGGAGGGGTCGGAGAGGAAGGAAAAGGAGGACGAGGAGCAGGAGGAGGAGAAGGAGGCGTCTTGGTGGCCAAGTCTTGGGGTCCGCTTGACGCCTCCAGGGGGCCTTTTTGGATTTTTTTTGTTTCCGTAGCCTCTTGGGACTCACTTGGGGCCCTCTCTGGCCGTCTGAGGGCGGGCCCCCTTGGCCCGTGTGACGGCTGCCTCTGCACCGTACTGGGAGATAGTTTTCTTTATCATCTGGCGCGGAACGGTCGTCACCCGGGCCAGACCCCTCTTCCCTCTAGGTAGCGGTAACGATCGTATGTGGGGAGGGGGTTGGTTCGAAAACGGAACGGAGTAAAAACGCGATGGAACGGACCCCAACCATTCCTGTTTCAATTCCAACCAAGCAGGTACCACCCCCAACCGCTTTGGAAGTTCCCTCGTGGGATTATTCAGGATTCCTCCGGATTCCCCATGAGATCCCCCACTGGTTCACTCATTTGTTTTGTTCTCCTCAGGAGGTTCTCGCAGCTCCCTCACAATTATTCGAGATGCTCTCTGAGATTCCTCCGAGCTTTCTCCTGATACCTACTGAGTCCTTACAGATGCGTCTGGGTTCCGCAAGATTCATCAGAGATTTCTCCGGACTCGTCAGGGATTCCTTTTGGGATGTTTTTTTCAAACATTTCCCCGGATTCCCCCGGATTCTTCGGAGATTCCTCCGAGTTTCTTCAGAGATTCCTCGAGATGCCTCACGGGTTTCTCTGAGATTCCTTTGGCTTCTCAGGTAAAGTTGCGAGATTCTTCCGAAGTTTTCCAGATTCCTCAGGAGTCTAAGGGGATTTCAGGATTCGTCAGAAATTGCTCCGGATTCTTCAGAGGTTCATGTGGCTTTCTCAGGATTCGCTGGAGATTCTTCTGAGATGGATTGAAATCGTGGCAGGATATTGGAGAGAACATGACAGGATCCCTTGGAGATCTGTTCAGGATTCCTGGGCTATGTTTTGTTTGATCACTGAAGGATCCTGACAGGACCCGTGAAAGATCCTTTCAGGAGTCTTGGGAGACTGTTTCAAGATCTTGGCGAGATCTTCTCAGGATCCTTGCGAGATCGTGTCAGGATCGTTTGGCCATGTTTCCAGGATCCCTGGGAGATCCTTCTAAGATTTGGAGGTTGATTGACCATCTACCTTGACGCGTCGATTAGCGATTTGGCCGTTTTCAGTTCGCGAGAGGGCGTCGCGGCCATCATTTTTGCGGGTCCGCGTCCGTCTGTTTCGGTTCTAGGCTGTGTTCACTGAAGGGAGGTTTACTCAAGGGAGGTTTCTCCACCGCCGCAGGATCCTTGACAGTTCCGTCCTGGGTCCTTGCGAGATCCGTGCAGGATCCCCGGGAGATCCTTACATGATTCCCGAGAGAGCCGCGACTATCAAGGCAGTTGTTACCGCGGGATTGTCGGGGCAGTTGCGGGTCGTCCATCCAGTAGTTATCGCTGCCCTTGTGAGGCGGTTCGCCACGACGCCCTTCATCATCATGACTGGCAATCTTACAAAGATTATTCATACTACGAGTACCACCAGTATTGCTAGTACTTCGAGTAAGACTGCGGCTCCCACTGCCACGGGTGCTTTTACTGCGACGACGTTTGCTGCTACGTTTGCTTTTACGACAACTTCCGCGAATTCGACCGCCATTACCACTACTACTACTACTACTACTACTACTACTACTTAATACGTACTACTTACTACTTATTACTTACTACTACTACTACTACTACTACTACTACTACTACTACTACTACTACTACTACTACTACTACTACTACTACTACTACTGCTGCTACTACTACTACTACTACTACTACCACTACTGCCACTACTACTCGCGCGCAGCAGTACGGCGGAGTCGAGTGAGTGGGATCGGCTATTAGCTTGTAGCGGCGCGACGGGCGCATTGGGCTCTCAGGAGTGGGGACGTATTTGGTTCACCTTTAGGAAACCGCACTGCACGAGACTCATGGGAAGGGGGCAACCGCGAGAGGCGGACGAAGGAGACGCCCGCAGGGGAGGGAGGGGAACGGCAGGCGGGGGTGAACGAGCGGTGCTCGAGCCCACGTGGGCTCTTCGGGTCAGAGCCGACAGGGGGGACGAGAGGTGAGCGACACCAGAGACGCATTTCCGGAGTTCTTTGCCATCCGCAGGGCGCCCTGTGGTGGAGGAGGAGGAGGAGGAGGAGGAGACGGAGGAGGAGGAGCAGGAGGAGGAGCACGAGGAGGAGCAGGAGGAGGAGGAGGAGGAGGAGGAGGAGGAGGAGGAGAGGAGGAGGAGGAGGAGGAGGAGGAGGAGGAAGGAGGAGGAGGAGGAGGAGGAGGAGGAGGAGGAGGAGGAGGAGGAGGAGGAGGAGTGGGCGGGGGCTGGCGCACGGCGCCCGCCGCCCACCCTTCCCCCCCGTCGCGCGGGCGAGGACGGAGTGCACGACGCCCGCGTCCCGCCGCAGCAGCTCCGCGCCCCCTGCCTCGGCGCCGCGGGACAAGCTCCTGAGGCGCGCGGGGAAGGGGGGGCAAGGGGGCAAGGGGGCCGCATCCCTTGGATTCGTTCGCCTTGAGCATCAACATCAGCAGCAGTAGCAGCAGCAGCAGCGGCAGCAGCAGCAGCAGCAGGGAGGCAAAAGGGGCAATGGGGGGAAGGGGGCAAAAGGGGCAATGGGGGGAAGGGGGCAGCTTCTGGCAGGATCAGAGTCAGGGGGGGGGGGGGGGGGGGCCACGTGCTGAAGTTCGCGGTTTTCCGGCGTCTCCGTCGTTCCTCGACGGCCTTCCGGCCTCGCCGGGGCGCCCCATCGACAGCTGCGCCAATCCGGGGGCGCGCCAGGGAGGGGGGCCGCTGGAGGCACGAGCTGCGGCCCGAAGGCCGCAGTGGAGGCATCGAGCAGGGGGGGATCGTTAGGGTTGCGTAAGTCGGGCACGTCCCTCCACAGGAGAAAACCTGAATAATTGTTCAAAGATAGTGCGGGGACGATTGTTCGAGTATTTTTGAACACTGTTGCATATGTTTTGAATATTTCTAATTTTTCGCCCAAGCCCCCCCTGTAGGGGGACAGGCCCGACCTAACGTTAGGGGGGATCAGGCTGCACGGGGGGATGCGTCGACCCTCAATCGCCCGTTCGTCGCTGATGGTGGCCTGATGGGCCCGCTCCGCACGGGGGCGTGCGGATTCGGTATCGGGTGCCTGTCGCCGATCTGTCGGCGACGTGTCGTCGATGCAAGCTTGGTGTTCCCCCCCCTGATCGGGTCCCCCTGAGCCTTCCCCCTCAGGCGGTGGTCGGGGGAGCTTCTACTACTTCCTCGCGTCAGATATCCTCTGATATTTTCGTTCCCCTGGGATGCCTTCCAGCAGCTGTGCACTGCAGAGAGCGTTCTGGAGGTGCCTGGATCGTCGCGACGGGCCGCTGGAGACCAGACTTATGATTCACTGTGGCAGCGCAGAGGGGTCAGAACAGCAACGCGTAGTCCCATATATTTATGCGTATATCTATGTGTGTATATGTATGCATATGTATGTGTGTGTATATATATATATATATATATATATATATATATATATATATATGTGTTCGTCACCTGGCAACGCAAGGGGGATCAATTACGCTACCGAGGAACCCCACATACTTAATTTAAATCTTATGTGTTTGCTCCGCTGAGAGGCCGCGCTGAGAGACCACCCCCTGCGCACTCCCTATGGTGTCGAGAATATGGCATGCCTGCTGTGCCCTGGACGACCGTCACGGATAGCGGCCGCGGTGAGAGACCACCCCCTGCGCACCCCCTTATGGTGCCGAGACGTGCCATGCCTGCTATGCCCAGGACGACCGTCACGGATAGCGGCCGCGGTGAGAGACCACCCCCTGCGCACCCCCTCTGGTGTCGAGAACATGCCATGCCTGGTGTGCCCTGGACCGTCACGGATAGCGGCCGCGGTGAGAGACCGCCCCCTGCGCACCGTCTATGGTGTCGAGAATATGTCATGCCTGCTGTGCCCTGGACGATCGTCACGGATAGCGGCCGCGGTGAGAGACCACCCCCTGCGCACCCCCTCTGGTGTCGAGAATATGCCATGCCTGCTGTGCCCTGGACGACCGTCACGGATAGCGGCCGCGGTGAGAGACCACCCCTGCGCACCCCTCTGGTGTCGAGAATATGCCATGCCTGCTGTGCCCTGGACGACCGTCACGGATAGCGGCCGCGGTGAGAGACCACCCCCTGCGCACCCCCTCTGGTGTCGAGAATATGCCATGCCTGCTGTGCCCTGGGCGACCGTCACGGATAGCGGCCGCGGTGAGAGACCACCCCCTGCGCACCCCCTCGTGTCGAGAATATGCCATGCATGGTGTGCCCTGGACGGTCACGGATACCGTCACGGATAGCATGGTGGCCGCGGATAGCGGCCGCGGTGAGCCACCCCTTGCGCACCCCCTCTGGTGTCGAGAATATGGCATGCCTGGTGTGCCCTGGACGACTGTCACGCATAGCGGCCGCGGTGAGAGACCACCCACTGCGCACCCCCTCTGGTGTCGAGACTATGCCATGCCTGGTGTGCCCTGGACGACCGTCACGGATGGCGGCCGCGGTGAGAAACCACCCCCTGCGCGCCCCTTCCGGTGTCGAGAATATGGCATGCCTGGTGTGCCCTGGACGACCGTCACGGATAGCGGCCGCGGTGAGAGACCACCCCCTGCGCACCCCCTCTGGTGTCGAGACTATGCCATGCCTGGTGTGCCCTGGACGACCGTCATGGATGGCGGCCGCGGTGAGAGACCACCCCCTGCGCACCCCCTATAGTGCAGCCGTGGCGCCCTCTGTGGTGTCGAGGATGTGCCACGCCTGCCACGCTCTCCGACCCTGGCGCGCATAGAGACAGCGCTGAGGGACCACCCCCTGCGCACCCTCTCTGGTGTCGAAACATGTGTTGAAAACCGGAACCCCACCAAGCATGTGGGGAAGAAAACCATAACCCCACTAAGCATGTGGGGAAGACGAGAAGGGGAGGGGGGAGATGTGAGACGCGGGTGCGGCGCGGCAGGGAAGAAAACCATAGCCCCATGAAACATGTGGGGAATAACGTTCGATTCGATTTTATCCATCACAAGGCAACGCAAGGGGGAGGGGGGAAACCTGCTAATATGCTGGTGCTCGTCATGCTGCTGAGCAGGTGGGGGGGCGAGACGATAGCACTGCTGTGCTCTACTCGCCACGTGGCTTCGCAGAGGGGGAATAACATAAACGACAGCGCTTTACCAGCTGCAAAGTATTATGTTTGTTGTGTGTGTTGGGTGCTGGGTGTGGACGATGTGCTACTTACCACCGACATACGGCAACGCTTTTGGGCGGAACGTTTAAGATATTGCATTGTGCTCACCACATCTGCGCGGGGGGGGGGGGGGCGTTGCACGCCTCCAACGGCGGTGCAAGGGGGGGCACCGCTCTACTCGGCACGCGGCAACGCAAAGGGCCAGGACCAGTGCTGCTCTATTCGTCACGCCTCGACGCGCCGGGGGCCACCCCGGCCAGCAACAGCTTCCCATAGTGTTCTGCGATACTGTTCTGTGATATGGTGCGCTCCTCGTGTGACACCCACGCAGCAAGGCAGCACCCCTAGTCAGAACGCGAATCGCAGGACAAAGGACAGAACAAACACATGCGTAAGAAATGGGGCACTGGATCAGGAGGAGCATGATGAGAGAGGGTGGAAGGGGAGAAGTGGAGGGAAAGAAGGAGGAGGAGAAGGAGAAGGATGGGGTGGATGAGGAGGAGGAGGTGGAGGAGAGGGGGGGGGTCATCCGACTCCCCCAAACAGTGTTCGACCGTGGGAGGGAGGGCGACCCCCCTTGGGACCATCGGCTTGCACCATTCCGAACGAAGAGAGAGGGAGGCCCCTTTTTCAGATTCTCGTTTCTCATTGCGAAGAGGGTGGGAGGGGTTTTCCATTCAGACTGGAATGTGGGGGCCCTTCGGACTGCCCCCCCCCACCTTCATTCAGAAGGGACAGGGCTGGGGGACTTTGGGACCCCTCATTCTTAAAGGATGCAAGGCCTTCTGCTCACCTCTCTCCAAACTCAGAAACCAATGGGGGCGGGGGGGGGGCCTTCGGTCCAACCCCCTTCTGCTGTATGCAGCTAGTTTCATCCCGGTGGCCACCTAGATCTGCACACATCTACGTCTAGTGTGTAAGCTACGGGCTGCAATCCGTCTGCATCTGGAACTGCCTGCCAGCGCACGGGACGCCCACGGGCGGGCGCCCACGGGCCAACACACGAAGAACCCAGCCAGCGCACGAAGCAGCCGCTCCACGGGCGCCCACGAGCCACCGCAGAGCCGGCAAGCCCCGCCAACATGTGCTGGCCGCAAGTCGAGCGCCGTGGGCAAACGCGCTGGCGGGGGAAGGTCTATGTCCGGGTCATCCTTTCTCCTCTGGTTTCTGGACGCCCCTTGATTATTGCGATACTTTTGGAGACGGGGAAGGCGCCGATCTTCCTCCTCAACCTCTTCCTCGTCCGTTTCATGTTGCCTCTCTTCCTCCTCGTCTTCCTTATCCTCTCCCTCCTGCTCGGTGTTCCAAGGCGGCCGAGCTTTTATGATCAAGCTTGGGAGGGGGAGCACCACGTCGCGGCCCTTGGGGTGCTCGTCACCACCACAGGGTGTACAAACATGGTTTTCCGACCCTCATCCGAGCGGACTCCTCCCTCGCGCTTCCCCTCCCGCGCCCCCCTTTCCTGCCCTTCCCCTCCCTTCGCGCCTGGGCAGCCCACCTCCTCTCCCTCCTCCCTCGGCAGCGGAGACACCTCCGCACCCACGGCCTCGCGGGGCTGCGCCGCTGGGCCGCGGCCTCACGGCTACTACTTTTTTTTTGGGGGGGGGGGGGGGGGCGCCCCGCGCCACGAGGGACGAGTGCCCCACGGACGACGAGCGCGAGGGGGACGAGTGCGGGCCCGCGGCAGACTGCGTGTGCGCGCTCGGCTACCCAGGCGCCCCGCGGGCGCGCACTGCTGCCAGAACCTGGAGTGCGGGGGGGGGAGGAGGGCAGGAGGAGGAGGAGGAGGAGGAGGAGGAGGAGGGAGAGGAGCAGCAAAGTCCGTCATGTCATGGTCGATCTCTGCACTTTTGGATCGCCACACAGGCTGCCCACCTTAGTAATTGCGTTGAGGTCGATGTCTCTGGACCTACTCACACCTGGGATCTGCGGTGGCAGATGTCACCGCCAGGCGCGACATTCCCCGCCCTCTCTGGAACACCTTGGTACGTTGACCCTTGCGGCCTTAGGGGTGGCGGCATCAGTGCTTCAGCGTGCCGCCAGGTCTCGGATAAGGTGAGCTGTCGGCTTGGTTCCCCTCCCCTCTCCTGCACGTGCATGATAGGGGGTACTGTCTTCGCCTTCCCTCTTTCTACAGTATGCATGGGCTTCGAACCATCTTTGTGCCCTCAGCGAGCGAGCGAGCGAGGAGGAGGTGGAGGGAGGAGGGAGGAGGGAGGAGGGAGGAGGGAGGAGGAGGAGGAGGGAGGGAGGGAGGGAGGAGGAGGAGGAGGAGGAGGATGAGGAGGAGGAGGAGGAGGAGGAGGAGGAGGGAGGAGGAGAGGAGGAGGAGGAGGAGAGGAGGAGGAGGAGGGGGAGGGGGAGGGGGAGGAGAGGGAGGGACTGAGGGAGGGAGGGAGGGAGGAGGAGGAGGAGGAGGAGGAGGAGGAGGAGGGAGGAGGAGACGGAGGCGGAGGAGGAGGAGGAGGAGGAGGAGGAGGAGGAGGAGGGAGGAAGAGAAGGAGGAGGAGGAAGGGAAGGGATGTGGACCAGTGTACACCCGCCCTCCCAGCTCCCTCTTCACAGGCCCCTGATGGAACTGCACCGTTAGAAGCCACCCGTTTGAAGACCCTGAAGCGTGCCAAAACACCATTATCGGGACTCCAACGCCACGAATCAACCTGCTTGTTACATTTTGACAATCCTGAGTCTTTCCAAAACACAACTTCTGGTATGTAGACCATGGGAACCTGGAAGCAGGTGCACATGTTTACGACGAGCGTGCCTGGCGCGAGAGCCACGTTTTGAAAAGGAACCGCCTCACTTCGTGAAAGTCTTGCACATGTTTGAAACGAATGCGCGCGGCGCTAACGCGAGAGCCACATGTTGGAAACGGCCCGCCCTCAACCCGTGAAGCTCTTGCAGCTTGTAAAACGAAAGTACGCGGCGCTAGGGGCGAAAACAACATGTTGAAAACGGCCCGCCCGCCATCCGTAAAGCCCATGCAACTCATTGCGCGCGGCGCTAAGGCGAGAGCCACACTTCGGAAACCATCTGCCCTCCATCTGCGAAGCTGTTGCCACTTTCGATGCGTCAGGGTCATAACTGGCGAGGATGTATCAGGCGAAACGCACTGCCCGCCCTTTAGATTGGCCTTTGGGCGCGACAGGAAGGAGTTCCTTATAAGGAAAATGAATGAATGGAGGATGGAGAGATGTTCCTCGCCGTAGTCTTAAGTCGTGCGTGTCCCTCTACAGGAGGAATATTCAAAAAGAGTCAACAAATAATCAGGGGACGATTGTCTGAGTATTTCGGGGCATTTTTGGGGCACGTTTTGTTTCTATCATTCGTCTCAAATCCGCCTGTAGGGGAACATGCCCGACTCAACCGTAGTCGTCCTTGTCGTCATCCTTCCTTGCTTGAAGGTTGAGCTTTGTAGACTTTGAGTGTCCGTTTTCGGGCCTTCGGAGGCTTCCAGAGGTCCCCCGAGGCATCCGCGGACCTTCAGACACCTCTGGCGGCCTCAGACCTTCTCCTTCTTTGGGCGCTTGGGGGGCCGGAGACTGTACAAGTGTTGCCCCCGCATGTGCCTGGCAAGGGCTCGGCATGCGCAAGGCGAGGAGGATGCAGCCAGGTACGAATCTTGTGATCAAAAGGAGAGGGATGTGGAGGATAAGAGTGAGGAGGAGGAGGAGGAGGAGGATGAGGAGCAGGAGCGTTCACGATGAGATTCGTGGGATCGTTTGGGTGGCCTTAGGGATCCTCAGTGTTCAGCCGATGGTAGCGCATGGCATGCGCGGGCGTGCGGGGTTGCAGTGGCGCCCGCGCCGCCCCGCGAACCAGCGCGCGGGTGGGCGTGCAGCGACCTCGCGGCGCGCGCGGCAGAGAGCGAGAAAGAGAGAGAGAGAGAGAAACAAAAAAAAGAGGCAGACACAGCAGGCAGAAGTTCGCACGCCAAACCGCACCCGCCGCTGCCTCCGCTGCTGCCGCGGGAGGCGGCGGCGGGGAGGAGCTCGCCGAGAGCCCCGACCGCGAAAGACTAAGTCGGGCCTGTCCCTCTACAGGGGGAATATTCCAGAATAGTCAAACAATAGTCGGGGGACTATTTTTTGATTATGTTTTGAACATTTGGGCGGTTTTTTCGGGTATTTTCAATTCTTCGCCCAGAATCCCCCCTGTAGGGGGACGTGCCCGACTTATAGCGAAAGAGCGCCTCCCGAACGGCGGCCGCAGGCCCCGTGCCTCGAGGGGGGCGGGGCTGGCCCCCTGCGGCGCGGGCGGCCGCGCGGGGCGCTCGGCCGCGCACGATGGCCGGGCCTCCCCCGCCCAGACCCCCCTTAGGGGCTCCAGAGACGGGGGGTCGGTGCAGACGGGGGTCCGCCAGAGCGCCGGATCTTGCAGGATCCTGCAGGGTCAGGGTCGCATTTTTCCCGGGTTCGCGTTGACCCGGGCTTGGGCGCAGGATCTTGCAGGATTCTGCAAGGCCTGACTGGCCCGGGTCTGGATCGACCCGGGTCAGGAGATCCCCGACCCCCGACATCAGGACTCTTTCATGACGTCGTCCCCCAGAGGTCTGGACCCCTTCCCCGGGACTGGTTTCTCCTCCCGCGTCGTCTGCCCGCGGCCCCGCGGCCCGGGGAGAGCCCCCATGGAGGCCAGAAAAGCAGCAGAAGGCCTCCCGCCGTGGTTTCGTCACAACGCGAGGGGGTCTGGGCTACTTGAGCAGCCTGACTGTGCCTGGGCCCCCCGCCGCGCCGCGCAGCGACGACGACGACGACGACGACGACGACGACGACGACGACGACGACGACGACGACGACGACGACGACGACGACGACGACGACGACGACGACGACTACGACGACGACGACGACGACTTGCGCGACGACTTGCGCGACGACGACGACTTGCGCGACGACGACGACTACGAAGACGACGACGACGAAAACGACGACGACGACGAAAACGACGACGACGACGAAAACGACGACGACGACGACGACGACGACGACGACGACGACGACGACGACGACGACGACGACGACGACGACGACGACGACGGCGGCGGCGGCGGCTGCGGCGGCGGCGGCGGCTGCGGCGGCGACAGCGGCGGCGGCGGCGGCGACGACGAGAGCGCTGGGGGCGCGGCGGGCTCGGCGAGAGTGCAGCCTGGGAGACGATGCAGACCCCAGGTTGGGATGCGGTAGAAGGCGATTGGCTGGCTCGCGTGTGCCAGCTCCCTGTTCTTCTTGTGGCGTGGCCAGATTTGCTCTCCGCATGAAGCGCGGTGGCAGCTCGGGGAGCAGGGAGGCTCCCCGATCGTGCCTGACGGGGCCTTACGCCAGGGGCCGAGGCAGCAGCGTTCGGGCTTGGGCACGCCAGGAAGCCACGCCTTTGGCGTTCGGCAGCTCGACTTGTCTTGGGCCGGCTTGCCCGACTGCATTCGCGACCGGCGCCACCAGCGGTCTTCATATGGGGCGTTCCGGAAAAGGCCTCGCCTTGGATCAAGGTTGTCGCCATATCTTCTTCGGCGGAATGCGGCGGAAGGGGGGCGAGAGCCGGCAGAAGCCGGCGGGAGTAAAACAAGCGCCCCCCAGAGATGGACATTTTTCGTCGGGGGTTGTGGCCCTGGCCCACTGTGCCTCTGGCCCAATGTGCCCCCAGCTCTTTGTTCAATTTTGGAGCCCCTGGGGCCCCCTGGGCCTCGTGAGGGGTGCTCTGGAGGCCGTGGGGACCGCCTTGGAAATCCTGGGGGCACCTTGGGCCAGGGGCACTTCGAGCAGCACCCCACCTGGGTCCAGAGTTCCCCGAGCCCGCCAGCCGCCCGCGCGCGCCGGCCGCCCCACCCGGCGCGGGCACGCCCCCGCGCCGAAGGCCCCGACGCGAGCCCGCTGCGCTACGGAGGCCGCGGGCGCGCGCGCGTGCGCGCTGCGCGCGCCGCGCGCCCCGCGCGCCCCGCGCGCCCCGCTCGGGGGCAACGTTGGGGGGGGGTCGTCGGGCTCCGCAGGTCGAGGCCGTCGGGCTCCGCGGGGCTCGAGGGTCGAGGCCGTCGGGCTCGGGAGGACGTCGAGGACGTCGAGGCCGTCGAGGCCGTCGAGGCCGTCGAGGACGTCGAGGCCGTCGGTGCGAGGGTCGAGGCCGTCGGGCTCCGCAGGTCGAGCGCCCGGGTCCGAGGGTCGGGGGTCGAGGGGCGAGGCCCGCCTTGGGCTCCTCGGCGGCGCTCCCCCGCTGCGGGGTTGCTCTTCGGCGGCCGCGCCTCGCGGAGAGCGCTCGGGGGGAGGGGCCAGGAGCGTCCCGCCGCCGGGAGCCCGGGACACGACCCCCAAGCTGGACGACGATGGCCAACGGAGGGGACACGTAGGTAGGCTCAGGAGGGCGGCGTGCATCGACCTTCGATCGCCCACGGATCGCCGACAGGGGGCCCGTGATGGCCCGCCTCGCCCAGGAACCTTCGGAATCGCTCTGGGGGGCCGATCGCCGATTCAGCGACGTCCTCCTCCTCCTTCTCCTCCTCCTCCTCCGTCCTCCGTCCTCCGTCCTCCGTCCTCCTCCTCCTCCTCCTCCTCCTCCTCCTCCTCCGTCCTCCTCTCTCCTCCTCCTCCTCCTCCTCCTCCTCCTCCTCCTCCTCCTCCTCCTCCTCCTCCTCCTCCTCCTCCTACCTCCTCCCTCCTCCTCCTCCTCCTCCTCCTCCTCCTGCTCCTCCTCTCGTCTCTCCTCCTCCTCCTCCTCCTCCTCCTCCTCCTCCTCCTCCCTCCCTCCTCTCCCTCCCTCCCTCCCTCCCTCCCTCCCTCCCTCCCTCCCCTCCCTCCCTCCCTCCCAACCTCCTCCTCCTCCTCCTCCTCCTCCCCTCCTCCTCCTCCGCCTCCTCTCCTCCCTCCTCCTCCTCCTCCTCCTCCTCCTCTCCTCCTCCTCCTCCTCCTCCGTCCTCCTCCTCCTCCTCCTCCGTCCTCTCCTCCTCCTCCTCCTCCTCCTCCTCCCTCCTCCTCCATCCGTCCTCCGTCCCCCCGCCGCCTCCTCCTTCCTCCTCCTTCTCCTCTCTCCTCCTCCTTCCTCCTCCTCCCTTCTTCCCTCCTCCTCCTCCTCCTCCTCCTCCTCCTCCTCCTCCCCTCCTCCTCCTCCTCCTCCTCCTCCGTCCTCCTCCTCCTCCTCCTCCTCTCCTCCTCCTCCTCCTCCTCCTCCTCCTCCTCCTCCTCCTCCTCCTCCTTCCTCCTCCTCTCCTCCCTCCTCCTCCTCCTCCTCCTCTCCTCCTCCTACCTCCTCCTCCTCCTTCCTCCTCCTCCTCCTCCTCCTCCATCCTCCTCCTCCTCCTCCCCCTCCTGAGCGAGTCCCCCCCGGCGACATGGCCCCGCACCCGCGGGGAGAAGGCGTGGACCAGGCGCCCACGCTCTTCTCGTCCACGCGCGCAGGAGAGGTCGCCCACCGACGCAGGCAGGCGCAGCCCGGCAGACCGGGGCCACGGGCTGTCGGGGCACTCCCCGGGCCCCGGGGCCGTTGGGAGGAAGAGCTGGTCCTGGGGGAATCTTCCTAGATTGGGTCCGGGGTCCGAGCAGATGGGGTCGGAGGACCGCGCCGCATCGCCGATGCATCGCCGATGCGGCTCGATGCGGGGCGGCCCGACTTGCTTCACGTGGAAGTCGCCGATGCGTCGCCAGCGTCGACGATGCGTCGCCGGTGCATCGCCGATTCATCGCCAATGCATCGCCGATGTATCGGCGATGCGGCGCGATCTTCCGATCCCATCTGCTCCGACACCGTCTAGGAGGCCTCTGAGGAAGGCCCTGCGGCTCGGGACCCGTTTCCCTCCGCACCCGTCTGTTCCGTGCCAGGATCGGGGCAGCGTAAAACTTCAAGTGCGCCGGAGCTCGGGACGAGCTCGAGACGCTCTTTGGCGGGCGCGTCCTGGACTTTGACGGTCCAGCTCTCGCGGGATGTCTGCAGCGGGAGCTCGCGTCAGGGCTTAGACGGGGTCTCGTCATTTTCATGATCGGCGCCACCCCGCACGCCGATACAGCATGTGCGTCGCCCCCGAAGGGGCGACGCGCGCGCCCAGAAAGCTCGTGATATGTGCTCCGTGGCGAGCGCTTGCCTGCCGTACCGCTCGGGAAACGATCTGCTACAAGGTGGTTCTGCTGTAGGTCCGGGTCGGGCGCACGCCTCCCGGGGAGGACGCATAGTGCCAGTATGTTCGGGGGCGGAAAAGAGGGGGGGGATGACTAGGGGGTTGGATTTCATGGCGCGGGCCATGATTTTTCCTCAGATCTCATGGCGCCTCTTCTTATTTCATTACGTCCCAGGCCCCCCCGCTGGGCCGCGCACATGCCGCCGGTCATGATTTGCACCCCCCCTTCTTGGACACCCCCCTCTTGGCCGCTCCCGATGTGTCCTTGTGCGTCCCATGGTGGCCTCGCCAGGCCAGCCCGAGTCCCCCGAGCCCGAGTCTTGTGTACGCCTCCTCGGCAGAGGTGTGTCTTGCCGCCGCAATGGCCTCCTGGGCGTGGGCCCGCGTCGGCGGCTGCGGCGGGCGTGGGCACGCCGGTGTGCGCTCTGCGATCTGCGCTGCTGGGGCTTGAGGCCCAGAGATCCGACGCCCCAAACAACTGGAGCGGCGGGTGTTGGCCGTTTTCGGCCTCCGGGGGCCCTCGCCGGGCCTCGCGAGCGTCAAACACGTGCCCAGGACGGGAAACTGGGCCTGGAGAACTAGCCGCCTAGACCCAGGCAGAGATGCGAAACTATGGGAAGTGGGGGGGGGAACGAAAGTCCATAAAGATATAGATATATACATTTATGGAAGAGCATAAGGGAGAATCCTGGGATTTGTGTGCAGTTGTTTGTGCCTGGGCCCCTCATGGATGCAGGGCAGCTTTCCCGGATGCCGCGCGCGGGACGGATCGCGCCTCCGTCTCCACATCACAGTGGATATTATCAACCCGCATAGTAAGGATCATCGCGCCAACATCGCAGAGCGGATTTCGTTCGGAAAACGATAGGATGGGCCGGGAGTGTCCTGGAGAATTTCGTTCGAGGTGAATTTCGTGCGGATGTTTTTTGGCCAGGAATGAAAAGAAAAAATAATCGCGAAATTAATTTCGTGTTTCATTCGCCATTTCGGGGTTTTGCATTGGCAGAAATCCATGCGCAAATCCGCTGCAGCACGTCTGCAAGGTCGGTGCAATAATAATGATGGTCAACCTCCTCAAGGGTACCCTTGCATCCTTGCCCCTCTGGCCCATCCTGAGCGACTTTCACCGGCCAGCCTCGTTCGAAAAACGTCCACTGAGCCCTCCAAGGCCCTTCCATCCTTACCGCGTATCCTTTTCATACGGGTTGACTGCATGTTCGTCGGTCGCGACAAATGGGGGTCCTGAGGTTTGCGCTGCCTTCGGACTCCAGGGGCCGTTCCCGGGCCTCGGGACCGTCAACAAGACGTCTCGGGATGAATAGCTGGTCGCAGGGGAAAGTGCTTCTGCCATGACTCGTTTCCTTCCTGGCAAATCCAACGTGGATCCGGAACGGACGCCGTCGGTTTCGGACATGAGCGTGTCGACGGCGCGGACGGTGGCGTGTGAGCTGTGCGCGTAAGCTCGCGCGCAGGCGCCCTTTGCTCAGCCACCGCGTAAGGTCGCAACCTCATGGTGCGTAAGACCTTCCTTCGATTCGTTGGCCACTTGATTCGAATACATTCCCCAGTTTAATTGAACTCAGTTGAACCTACGCTGCGGCACCCAGACGCTACGGAGGGACGGCATAGGAGCGCCACCATCAGGGGAAGTTAAGACACCTTCTCGAGCACGCCGCGCACGACGCGAACCACAAATCCACGACTTCCAGGAGGGGGGCGCGTCTTTTGAAGCTCCAAGGCCCCCAAAACTTCCAGGAAGTCGGATTCGTGGAACCGCTGACGGCGGCGACTCGAAGCACGGCGCGCGACGAACGACGGTGACGACGCCCACGGCGCGGAGGAGTCCCAGGAGGCCTCTCCGAGGACGGCGCGGAGGAGTCCGGGAGAGCCCGAGGGGGCTCCGCCCATGGGGCGCGCGGGCCGCCGCCCTGGCTCAGGCAGAGCGCCGTCTCGGTCCACCCGCGACTGTGCCCGCCGCCTCCTGACTCACTGACCTCTCCCGCCGCACTTCATCCCCCAGACCCCCGACGTCATGACTTTCTCATGGCGTCGACCTCCGGAGAGTCTCGACCCCCTCCCAGGGACCGGCTTTTCTCATCCTGAGTGGTCCTGTGGAGGGTCCCGCGGCCCGGAGCGGGCCCCCAGAGGCCGAAGATAGCGGAAAACCTCGCGCCGTGATTTTCTCATGACTCGAGGGGGTCTGGGTCGGCAGCTACATTTCCAGAGAAAGATGCACCAGGACACGCCCTCCCCCCGCCGCCGCATCTTCTCATCCGCCAGGCGGGGCGGCCTGGTCCGTCTGCGGCCAGCGAGGAGTTTCACATGCGGGCCCACAGTGGAAACGCATGACAGGAGACGCCCTGCTTGTCTCCAGGGTGCCCTGGGTCTCTTGGGCTTCGGTGGTTTTGCAATATGAACAGCGTGCGTACCCCCGCACAAAAAAAAATCCATTGACGTCCTTGGGCCTCAGGGCTGGACTTCTCGTGGAAGGCATCTCGTGGTCGAGCTCCTGCAGGGTGAGGCCGAGTCCCTCGAGAGCGTGATGCTTTGGCTGTGGACAGCGTGGCGCTCCCACACCAGAAATATCAGTGGACGTCCTGGGGTCTCTGGGCTGGGTCTCTTGTGGAAGGTCTCCTGTGGTAGAGCTCCCCCTGCACGCCGCATCGCCCGAGAGCGTGCCATGGAGCGCACTCGGAGCGCCCTCTGGCAGCACAGCTGCAGCGGCCGCGGCGCACGACGCGTCCTCGAGGCCCCCGCGGGGGCTCTCGGAGACTGCCAGCGCATCCTCCTTCGGGCTTGTCCTCCTCGGGGGGGCCGGGGGCGGAAGGAAGAGGGGGTTGGAAGATCCAGGGGGGGACTTGTGGCTCGATCCCACCGAAGTTTCCGAGGCGAGCGAGGCGAATGTGGGGGGACGCGGAGGCATCCTCGTTCGAGCCTGTCCTCATCCGTCAGGCAGTGGCGAAGCGCCCCGGCTTCCTGATGCTCCTCCCCCTCCTCCTCCTCCTCCTCCTCCTCCTCCTCCTCCTCCTCCTCCTCCTCCTCCTCCTCCTCCTGGACTCCTGGACTCCTCCTCCTCCTCCTCCTCCTCCTCCTCCTCCTCCTCCTCCTCCTCCTCCCGGGCGATAGCGAGCGTTGCCGGGGCGAGGGAGAGAAGGGGAGGGGGCGTAATGTCACGTTCCGCAGGGGCGCCGTAGGGGAATGTGTTAAGGATAACCGACGGCAGCTCGGACGTGAGCACGGATCGTGACATTACCTCGGGGAGGGGGTGGGGGGCGGCTGGGGCTGGTGATGGCCGTCATCGCAAAACAAGCGCTTGTTTTTCCTTTTGTGCGGAAGAAAATATAAACGCTCCCCACAGGCCTCGGCACGCAATGTGATTTGGAGCCTGGGTCACGCATGTCTCGCGGCTGCGAGTGCTGATCCAAGCGAGCATTCGAGTCGGATCCAATTCGATCGATGGACAACGGCTCTCGGCAAATCCGAGAAGCTCGCTCGCAAGCGCGCGTACTTTGCTCACATCGACTCACAACGCGGCTGGTTTCGCTCGCTCGATCCGCCCAGAGGGCAGGCAGCCGCATTTCTCGTTGCGCCGCCGCACGCCGCCCAGAAACCACTCGGGTTGAGTTCGGGTGTGTTCCCAGACTCGCCTCTGGTCAACGGGCTTCGCATGCACTGCGCACTTCGAGCCGTCATCCACGGAAGGAGCCGGCCCAGGGGAAAGGGTCGGGACTTTTCAGACCCCGTAATCATTGCAAACGTCGAGGCGTCGGACCGGGGCATCCGAGAATGTTTTTCCCAACCATCCTGTGGTGTTTGGTCCTCGTTTTGAAGAGACGGTCCCCGCGTTCCTTCCCTCCCTCCTTCCTTTCTCCTCCCCCTCCTCCCTCCTCCCATCCCTGCCTCTGCCCTGCGCATGTCCTCGCTCCACCTCAGGTCCCAGTTGCGGTGTTCACATGCGTCTCCCCTACCCAGCACAGCGCTTCGTGGCTCCATAGGGAGCTCCACCTAAGGCCCTAGTGGCGGTGTCCACATGCGTCTCCCCCCATCAGCACAGCGCTTCGTGGCCACATAGGGAGCTCCACCTAAGGTCCCAGTGGCGGTGTCCACATGCGTCTTCCCCACCCAGCACAGCGCTTCGTGGCCACATAGGGAGCTCCACCTAAGGTTCCAGTGGCGGTGTCCACATGCGTCTCCCCCCATCAGCACAGCGCTTCGTGGCCACATAGGGAGCTCCACCTAAGGTCCCAGTGGCGGTGTCCACATGCGTCTCCCCACCCAGCACAGCGC